CCAACTTGCTTTATTTCCTAACGTGCTTATGTGCTTTCAAAAAGGCTTCTTGCCTTAGCCTGTAGAGTTAGAAGGCTTAAGGGTACACACTTTTGTATCTGGTCTTCCATCCATATCACAAGTAATTTTTCCATCTCATGAATAGGACCTTGTCTTTTCTTCGTTATTATAGTTCCCTTTATTGGTGCTGATCCTTTCACTACCTCACGAATTCTTTCCTTGTCCTTCAAAATAGTAGATATGGTCGAGTGCGAGAAGCCTAGGTCGCGGGAAATTGTTGCTACAGTTTTTCCATTTTCATACTGCATTATTATCTTCATTTTCGTCTCAAAAGTAATTGACTGTCTCCTTTTCTTCTGAGCACTACCAGCACTCTCACTTGTACGCTTTCCAGTCATTCTAAAGTCAATTAAATTAAAAAATAATGTCAGTACACAGCACGATCAGTTGCGGATACAACGACAGCCAAACACCAACTAAGCGCTCTACGGCGTGGGTGCTGTACCTACGCGGGGTGACCCAAGCCACGCGATGCTCTCGTACAGGACAAAAACGTTTCTGTATAGAAAATGCGCGCATCATTTGAAAACAATTTTGGTACCGACTACAGCGGTCGTATGTGCGGATGGTCGTTACGGACTGAGGCAGGTCGTAAGTGCGGGTGGTCGCTACCCGAGTTTATCAGTTAATTCACGTATAATACTTCTGATAAACTTCCTACGTGCTTATGTTTGAAATAATGAATGTATGTATCTTTATATAATTTAGCTAAATATCTTTCTCGTCAGAAATGGTCATCCCAACGATTATGAATAAACTCATTTAGAAATACATCATTACTCAGGACAAAATCGGACAGGTTTGTGACAGCCAATGAGCTGTAACTCTTGAGGAGGAGGTGGGGCATCTTTTCTCAGCTGGGAAAAAACACGCTATAGTTATGGACTGTAAAGGTAGATTTTTGGCTTGAAGATGACGTATTATGTACTGTATTTGGTTGCTGAAGGAGGTTCATAGTGATTTAAAAATTTAAAAGTATGGCTTACTTATGGCAATGTACAGAGTACTTTGTTTTAAATTGAATCTAAACTATGGGCTTCAAGTGCATGATTTTAGAATTAAACTTCTCAGGAGTTTTCATGCCTGGATATCTTATTGTTCATAACTAAAACTGCCTAGTCAAAGGAAGCATGTAAAATGAGGACCTTTCCAGTTACTGGTTGGTTATAACAGCTTTTTATAGAGGGTGAAAAGTGGCTATCAAATGGAATATCTTGTTACCTCTAGCTTCCGTGTCTCTATCTGGCTCTGGGTAACTACAGTTGCCTGAGATGTCCTTAAGCAATAAAAGCAGAATTAATCCTGAAACTCCATTTTATAACCAAGCACAAATTTGGTGACTCACATTCCCTCTCAGCTCTCTTGGGATTATTCGGGTGAGCTGACAACCTCAATGGAGATATCCTGGGTCTTAGGGTTATGATGAAAAACTCATGGCAATGGTGGAGTGTTCCTGGGTGCACAGTGGTAAGACTTCTTAGCCTTCTTCTTCAAGTAAATCATTGCCTTCAGTTAGTGCCCTGTTGGGTCCCATGGTCAAGTAGGAAAGGTTAAGTGATTGAGGATCATTTTCTTGGTTGACCAGCTAAATGGACATGTCTAATTAGTGCTGCTACCCTTATCAGGGTTCAAGATCTTAGATCTTGGGTTTTTTTTAGGCTGTAGACTGTAACTAGAGTTGCCTGATTTGTATTTATTTTGCTATGAACTGAGGTTTCAGGATCAATCCCTCATCTACAGTCATTATAACAATCCCTTGGGGTATTTTTGTCTTAGAGGTCAAAATGTCAAAGGCCAAGGTCACATCTTTGGAAGAGGCAACTCCTGGCTTGGGTTGAATCCTTACTCACTAAGACAATTCCCATAGAGATGCTATTTTTAGAACCAGATGGTCTAAAGGCAAGTTCACAGTTTTATACAGGGTACCCAGCTCCTGGCTTGAGTTGGAACCTTGCCTGAATGCTGCCTTGTTTATGTTATTGTATTTTGTTTAATTCATTTACACTTAAAAATCAATGTTAACTTTGTAACTGAGAAATATTATTTTGTGTAAACCATTAACAAGAATTTTAACTACAATTTTCAGGTTTGCTGCAAGGTTCACCACCACTTATATCTCCACCGGCTTTTGGTGGGTATGTCATTATGACATTAGGATAATTTTAAACTTTCATGATTTAATGATCTTAAAAATTGAAAGTAAATGTAATGCTACTTTATACTCTTAATGCCCCTTCTGTTTTCACTGTTGGTATATAATATTACCCATGTGTATCCACCTCTGTGTCCATACTTCTCATCCATTGGTCATCTTTCAGTAATAAGATAAACCTTACATGAGTCTTAGCTAAATTTGATGTACCGGGTAGATCTTGATATTCATCATCTTAAAATCAGTGTTGTTTGATTAGGGTAGTTTTCAGCCATTGACAATAAGTTAGGTCTCCATTTTGTCTCGTGAAATCCATACAGATGCTGTATCACTGTGGTTTTGCTTGGTAACACTAGAAAGCTTGTGGAAATCCCAACAATATTTTAGAATAAGTTTTATAATTTAGAAAAGTTAGGTGAAGTTCACTCTTTGCAGTTGTCAATCATTAGTTTAAAGCTATGGTCCCATTTTCAGTCTTATCATTGGTGTTCACTCAATAACTTCAGAGCCTTTGCACAAATTTCAACTTAATTTTTCAAGGTCAGGTTTTGTATTTGCATTAGTCATCCTATTTTTAAATCAGTTATGGCCCCTTTACAATTTAAATAATGCTTTTCATTTAAATTCCTTTTCACATATATTATTGACATTAGAGTTGTGAAATTTGGTACAATGAAGCACGACACTACAGCATTATATTGAGTCGTGCATGACTCATCCCTCCTTTGTAGTCCAGGGAGTTAGGCCTCAGATCCTCACCTTCTTGTTTTGGGTAAACTAAATGAAACTAAAGTTAATAAAACCAGGATATATTAATGTGTGTGGATGTAATCAGAGTGATAAGTGGAGAGTGATTGAAATTGTGATGACTAAAAGGAACCTGGATTTTTTTTTATGATATGCAAGAAGCTGAGGGGCAAGTGAGAGGAGTGTTGGAGACAGTGGACAGATAATTCGTCACCAGCCTATTGAGTACCGAGGTATATTTATTAAATTTGGATAAAAATGTCTGGAGGATAGATTAACCTTATAAAATTTCACTGACTTGACTTACTAGAAAATATCTTGTATTGCAGGAATTCTTGTAAGATAGTGATTAATTTGAGTATAAACATCACTTATTTTGCACCACACACATGTGCACACACACACACACACACCTCCACAACCACACACTTCTACAGGTTGTACCTCTCTAGTCCGGCATTTTATGGTCCGGAAACTCCCGTGGTCCGGAACGATTTTTGTTTGCCCAATAGGTAGATAACCAGCTTTATTTTTTATCTGAATTATTATTATTATTACAGGAGTATTACATTTTCGCCCCTCAGGCTCCAGTGTGGGTCAGTGACCTGTGCCCGAGTGGGCTAATCCGCGTAAAAAAAAAAAAAAGCCGCTGGAAATTAAGGTTTGTTTACATCCGGCAGTTTGGCTCTCTCTCTCTGTTTGTCTATACAGAGTACAGTACAACATTTAACCCTTCAATATATATGAACAGTAAATAAGTACTGTATTGCTTTCATATTCTTATGTAGAGTAATGACGATATGTTTTCACATTTGCGCACTTACGTACGCTCAGTCTCACTTTTTTTCTTTAACATAAATGGTTTGCTACTTTTATTGTTCTATTTATTAACATTAGATAACATTACTTAAAACAACCATATTAATTTTTAACATTAATTTTACTACAGCTACAACCAGGGTCTTATTTTCTTGTTTTATATGTAGAACCAATCAGTCACTGGTTTTGTAATCAACGAAAACAATGCTGTCTCATTTCCTCGTGTGTTTTAATATTCTACGTATTATTAATGAATTGTATTGCTCATTTTGCACGCATAAACATTAATTCAATAAAAAAGACATTCAGTAATAAACAATAATGAATCTTTTGTACACAAGAGAAATGACGATGTTTACAAGATTGTGCATGTCGTCTGAACGTTGGCGGGCCGTTCAAACCCATCGAAATTCGAGTTTCCTCCGTCAAAATTTTAAATTATGTAGTGTTTTTTTTGTGTGTGTGTCCAAATAAAAAACCTAGAATTAAAAACTCGCGAAATTTGAGAAGCTACTGTACGACATTTAACCCTTCAATATGTCTTCAAAGAGACCACGAAGCAGTGAAAGTGGTGCAGACGTAACCGCAAGTCACTATCTGTCCAGGAAAAGGGTGAATTTCCATGGTTCGGAAATTTCCATGGTCTGGCACCGGTCAGGTCCCGAGGTTGCCGGACTAGAGAGGTACAACCTGTACTACTACTTTGCTGTCGCTCGGAATCGAGTATGACGATCATCCAGCTATGATACAATGAAATGAGCTATTAGGGATGTCACCTAGGTTGGTGAGTTTTGAGGTGACTAAAGTTTTTAAGTGCCTTGAGGTGCTTCCTGTATGTGACCCATGTCTCACTGCCATATAGCAGGGTGGGGAGGACCACTGCCCAATATACATGCAGCTTTGTGGATAATTTCAGCTCCCTGCAGCAGAAGACAGTTTCGGAGTCCGCCAAAGACTTGAGATGCACATCTGATCCGATGCTGAATCTCTTTATCGATATCTACTGTGGTGGACAGGTTGGAGCGAGATACCGAAAGTGGTCAACATTAGAGATTGTAGTACCGTTAAGTTGGATGGATGGTGGAGGTGTGTCTGAACCAGGGGCAGGTTGAAAGAGAATCTGAGTTTTACGTACATTCACCTTAAGGCTGAAGTGTGCATACGCATCTGCGTAGGTGTTTAGGGTCTCCTGTAGGTCGTGTTCAGGGTGAGAAACAAGGGTGAGGTCGACTGCATACTGGAGTTCAGTAATGGAAGCTGCCAACACCTTTGTTCTTGCCTGGAGTCGTCTTATGTTGAAAAGACCCCCCCCCCCTCCCCTTCACCCGGTACTCTATGTCCACCCCACTGGCTAAATTGGCACTGGCAAGAGTAAGGAAGGCAGCCAAGAAAATGGAAAAGAGAGTTGGTGCCAGTACACACCCTTGTTTAACCCCTGTTTGAATGGGAAAGAACTCGGACTGAGTGCCGTTTTGCAGGACACTGCCGTTCATACCATCGTGGAGTTGCCTCACAATGACGATAAATATTGGTGGACAGCCAAAACGGCTGAGTTGTCCATCAGAGGGCTTCCCTGTTGACCGAGTCGACGGCCTTGGTTAGATTGATGAAACCCATGTACAGGTCACAATGCTGTTCTCTCACTTTTCCTGTATCTGGCGGGCAGCGAAGATAGTGCCAGTGGTGCCACATGATAGTCTAAAACCACATTGAGATTCTGGGAGGAAGTTTTCCGCCTCAGGAAGAAGTTTGTTTTGGAGGACTCAGGCGTTAATCTTGCCAGCTACGGAGAGCAGCGAGATCCCACAGTGTTTGCCACAGTCTGACCAGTCTCCCTTGTTCTTATAAATATTGGCAATGGAGGCATCTTTAAGAGCTTGGGGGATTTCCCCCTTTTCCCATATATTCTCCAGGAGAGAATGGAGACGGCTGGTAGGCAGAGGTCCTCCTGCTTTATACACCTTGGCTGGGATTCCATTAGGCCCTGAGGCTTTGTTATTTTTCATCTGTTTGATGGCAGTAGCTACCTCATGCAGGGATGGAGGATAGCTGAGGTGGGTAGTCGGGACATACACATCGGTGTTTCGGTTGAGCAATGAATGGTAAGGCTCTTTCCAGCACTAAAGGCGGCCTTCATCATCTTTAATTATGAAGTTACCATCACATGAGCGGAGAGGGGCTGCGCCATGAGTGGTTGGCCTATAAAATGTTTTAATGGAATTGAAAAATTTGTGCATATTGTGCTGATCTGCATGTTTTTGTATTTCTCATGCTTTATTTTTAAGCCAGTCATTCTTTAGAATGTGAAGTTCCCACTGGGCTACAGCTTTCTTCTAGCGGAAGGTATCAGCTTTGGTCCGAGACTGAGGGTTGTTCTGTCAGTCAGTAAAAGCAGCATGTTTATCATCGATGTGTACTTTGATTGCCTCGTCATTTTCATCAAACCAGTCCTGGTGTATTCTTTTGAACTGGCCGAGGGTCTCTCTGCAGGTCTTTGTCATAACAGTATTAAGAGTATCCCATTCGGCACTGGGATTCGTGTTGTTTGCTGTTGGGTTGTTTATAAGCTCATGTTCGAGCTGCTCTCTGAAAGCATGTGCTACTGCTGGGTCCTCCACACACTTAGTATTAAGACCTCTTCTGGAGGCTTGCTGCCTTCACCGTTTTGGAGCGACGTGAAGTGAGAGCTTGGATTGATGATCAGTGTCAGTGGCCTGAGCCACGCATGGCATGGGTGATGAGGACATCTCGGCAACCTCATTCTTTGACAATGATGTAGTCAATGAGATGCCAGTGTTTGGATCGTTGGTGTTGCCATGTTTCCTTGAGCTTGTCGGTATGCCGAAGCAAGGTATTGGTGATACTGAGGTTGTGAGCAGCACACTTGCTGAGGAGGAGTAAGCCATTGGCATTACACTTGCCTAGTCCATTCCTCCCTATGGTTCCCTGCCAAATGTTAGCATCTCTGCCAACTCTGGCATTGAAGTCGCCAAAAAGGACAACCTTGTTTTCTCTGGGGATAGAGGTTAGCACTCTGTCGAGGTCGGCGTAAAAGGCCTCCTTGATGTCATCCTCTGCATCCAGTGTTGGGGTGTATGCATTGATGAAAAAGGCATGATGTGAGTGATTCAGTAGGACTCGAAGCGTCATGAGGTGCTCGTTGATCCCAACACACATTTCAGTTAGCCTGTGTAGGATGCGTTGGCGGATGGCAAAGCCAGACCCCCGTTCTGTGAGCTGGCCCTCATCTGGGAGCCGGAACTCACTGATGGCTGCTATTTCGATGTTATACCTAGCCAGCTATTTTGCCACAAGGGCAGTTCTTCTTTCAGGACTCATTTGTGCCAGTATCCAGAAGGGTCCTGATATTCCATGCAGCAACCATAAGAAGTTCTGTGGTTTGTTTTTGTTTGGATCTGTGATTTTGACTGTTTTTGACCGCATAAGAATGACCAGTCAGTTTGGTTTTTTAGGCAGGCTATGTTTAGGGCACCTTTTCTAGCCCCCTCCCCTTTTGGGTTAAGCAGAGTGACTCCTCGATAGGGCTGCTCAGTCGCACAGACAGAACCAGGTTGCACTGCTGCCTGGATCCCAGTGCATAAGCGACCATCTTAACTGTGCCGCCCATGTGCAGAGTTGTGACTAGAGACTCCCGGCAGTCATCTCTGCTTGTCCCTGTTGCCATAGGACTTTTGGGGGTATGGGGGTTTTGATGATAATGAGAGGTATGATAAACTGGATTATGGCTGCGCGTGAGTTGATTTATGTGGTGTGGCAGGAGCGCAGGTTGCAACCACACATCTTGGCTCTCCCTTTTCCTGATTTAGTGGTGCAAGTGTTGCAAAGACTGGGGAGAGGGAGAGTTGCAATGGACCGCCGATAGCCCAGTTTGTTGGGTTTCGCCTTAGTAGCCTGTCCACCAGGCATTGCCTTTGTCTGCCGGTTTAGTCGTTGGGTTTCCATGGTGGTCACCTCTTCCGCCTATACCGCTGTTGGGGTCTTGTTGGAGCTCTGTAAGCATGTCTGCCTGATGCGGGGCTCCACCACAAACTTTTCGTTCAGGGCTTACACCATAGCCTTATACCTACCAAGGTAAAAGTAAGTAAAGCACGGCAGCGGGGCAGTGGTTGGTAGGCGCCAGAATGTGTCCACAAGCCAGTGGGCCTATGCGCCGTCTCTCTGGGGCTCACTGCTACTCCTAGATCCCCTGCTGGTCTAGCCTGGGCCCACGAGGCACCCAGTTACCATGTGTTGCCACGAGGAGGTACAGCGGGTGTCTTGATGGAGAAGAGGCTGTGTACTGGCAGGGGAAGACTTATGCAAGTTGCTTTCCTGTTCGCCATGAGGGCTAGCCAGCGGTGGTAGCTGAAAGTGAGAGGGAGCAAGCAGTGCTTGCATCTTAAACACTAACATAGTGCTGCCACACTAGATGCATTTCACCACCCTATGTATGACACACACACACACACACACACATGCACACACTCACATACTCCACACACACACACACACAAACAACAACAACAACAACACGAAATAGCCGTTTGGAAGGGGTGGTTGTCTCGGTCTCACTTACTGCCCATAGACCCTTCTCTGTCTGGCTGGGAGGAGGGGGGGGGGTGTCAACATCCAGAAGGAGAGATTAATGCTTACTCAAGGATTATGAAATGTTTTATTTTTTTGCTTATAAAATGCCACTGACTTGACTTAGGAGAATATAACTTGCATTGCTGAAATTCTTGTAAGGTAGCAATTGATTAGAGTATAAACATCCCTTATTTTGCACCATACATGGTAATTTTAATAATTAACTTATTACATTTGAGCAATCGCTCATAGGAGCAATTTTGGTTTGTGCAGGACAATAAGACCCTTGTCGTTGACACGGTGAGTATAGTTCGCGTGAACGACAAGGGTCTTATTGTCCTGCACAAACCAAAATCGCTCTTATGAGCGAATTTAGTCAAAACGTTTTGGGGTCTAGGGTTAGACAACGAGAACAAATATAATGTCCTGCAGGAAGATGTTGGCTGACGAGAATCAAGATGTTGCCTCTACAGTAGAAGGCGATAGTCTGCCCCTCAGGCGGTCACACAGCTACTACCAGCTCCATCTGGCTTAGTAAGCTATTTTATTCTTGTGGCCGACTGTACGTCCGACTCGATGTTATTATTCGGTCAAACGTGTTACGGGTCTGGGGGTAGATCAACGAGGGGAAAGACGATGTCCTACAGAAGAAACGTTAGTTGGTGAGAATCGAGACTATTGCCTCAATCCAATGGCGAAAACAGGTTGTCTGAGAAACAGCTGCTATGAGTTGTGCAAGCCAAATGAGGATCTATCTTGGTAATCCAAGTAGCCTTAGATTTTTATTTTTATTTACTGTATTTTTTTTTTCTCAGAGGTTAGCCCACCCAGGCACAGGTCACTGACCCACATCAGGGCCTGGGGGGCGAAAATGTAATAATAATAATTAAAAAGAAATCATAATAAATTAAAAAATAAATAATTATAAATTAAATTAAATTATAATAATAATAAAGATCAAGAGTGAGAAACGATATACTATATGTATGTTGTATTGTCAATAGTAAGAGAAACAATTGAGACCCTGCAATTGTGTGTAAATGAAGCAGAAAGTCAGATCAGCAACCTGGGACTTGGTCACAATTTTCGTGATGCCATATGGCAGCAGGGTCTACCATTAGACAACACATTATGCTTCCAATATCTTCCCAGGCGGTAGTACCTCCCTACCTACTACTGTACAGATATAAAAAAAAATTGATAACAATTTACATAATTGTTGGACTATGAGTGTGGATGAGGGTCTGCACAGGTTTTTATGGAATTGTTGAGAAAATGCAAAGTAAAATCTCAATAAAAAGAGTTACAGTAATTCAGAGGTGATGGTAGGAGGGAGACGGGAAAATGGGTGAGACTGAGGAGTGGGGTGAAGATACACAAGAAAAGAGGGATGTGAACATCAAAGAAGCAGTAGTGTACATGAATAAGTGAGAGCTTGGTGTTAAATGGTTTTGGAGTGTTGTGCAGTAGTACAGGTATCCTATTCTTTTTCTGCAGGACTCGGGGCACCAGTTACTGTAGATGGATGGGCATGTCACTTCCCCTTCAGGTACAAGGGCAGGACATACACTAAGTGTACCTCTGAGGACAGCAACCACCCATGGTGTGCAACCATTGTTAACGATTCAGACCAGCCTACAGAAAGTGGATACTGTAAAGGTTAGACTACTGTACAAGCTATAATTTTTCTTATTTAATATTTCCTGTATTTCTCCATCATATGTAGGTAAGACTAAGATATGAACCACTATTTTATGGCTGAGGGATCAAGCAAGTGCTCCTCCTCCAGAGGTGGAATTTTGAAATGACTGAGAAATTTTATTTCAAATGGAAATAGAACTTCAATTCTTGGACTGTAGAAAAGTTTGTGGCACAGTAAATCCATGAGTTTAAATTTATTACCTAAAATCTCATTGATATATAAAATTGCCTGTAAATCAGACAGAAGTTGGATGTATGGGGTGAGAGGGCTGTTCTGTGTCTGGCTGACATATAAACATTACCTGCAAGACTAATGTAACCTGTCTGCACACAAATAAACATGTGTATATTTAGTAGACTCTGCTGACTTGCACTTACTGTATGAATAACACCAGGTCACCCTCTCATTCCTTTAGCCATAGAATAGCATTTCATATCTCCATTCTGTTTTTGTTTTGTTTTTTGTTGACAGGTAGTAACCAGCCTCCACCCAGCAAGCCCCCAGTGAGGGTCCCTCAACCTTCTTCTGGTATGTTTCATTACTTTTAATTTCTTTTAACTAAGTCTTTATGATATATTTCTCTTCTTCTATTTTCCATAAAGAAAGAGTAAATACTATACCTCGATCTACATGACAACATTATATTCATTTGTAGGCTTACTGATGGTGGATTGTTATTGAAATTTTGGCCATTTATAAAGGAATTGGTTGGTCTGCTAATTTAGAAAGCCACTCAACTACCTGGCTCATGTTTTCCTTCTGCATCTGTAGTCTTCACTATCTCATCTATATCTACTCTGACTGACTGACTGGGTCATGTCTCCACTTTTGCAATCCAGAAGTGTGTCTGGCATTCAGACCTTTGTGATTCTCAAACATCAGGACCAGACCAAGACAGGGTAGTAGTCTAAGGGAGGCACAGTTGGCTCATCAAATATGGTATACATAAACTTCTGATTAAAAGTAATTAAAAAACTTAGTTTCAGAGGATATGATAATACATCAACCTCTCGATTTACGCTGGGTTTATGTTCTTGAAAATCACCACTTAATTGAAAAATGCATAAATTAAACATAATTTTTCCATAAGAATACAAGTAAATGGTACAGGTTAGGGGAACCATCATATACCACACAGGGTACGAACAATGCTCTCACTTAAACCAAGCACGCGGCCAACCTCCGACACACACTCTCCTCTCTGAAGGCGGGTGATCACATTTAATTTCGTTTTATCCTCTTCACCACTGATCGGCTCGTTAGCCGCTTGGGCGATCAGTCACGTCTCTATTACACACTGTTGGCAAGTACTGGGCATGCACCGGCTCCTGAATGTACCTGAACCTGCTCCTGCTCCAGTGTTGGTCAAGTCTTGTCTTGAAAGAGCTCACACTCGGTGCCGTCACAACACTTTCTGGTAGAGTGTTCCAAGAGTTCAAACTCTCACTCCGAAAAAGTTTGCCCTCACAGTTTTCTGGACTTGCGGCTTCTTCAATCTTGAGCTGTGACCCCTTGTGGGGCGAGTGTCCGCCAGCTCCAAGTAAGGACACTCGACTGAGTAGTGCCCCTTGAGATGCTTATACACCTCAATTAGGTCACCCCTTACCCATCTGTAGTATTTCACATCCATTGCGATTGTTTTTCGTGCCTTTTTAGCTTTAGACGCCCCAGAGGAGGCAGATGGACGCTTTCCAGACATACTCAATGGGGAAAACAGCGTTTAACGCTAAAAAGATAAGTGATAAACACACAATGCAAATGAGAGCACAGAGAAAAGGTAGTGCTGGTGTGAACTGAGAAAGCGATACACGGGAAGCTTGCTGGATGTGGTCACAGTTGTTGTACAGGATACTTCATTATCATCATTAGTAGTAATAATCTTTATTATTACATTATTATAATAATTATTATTATTAATAATAATTTTAAAATCGTTGATGTTGATATGACTGCAACTTTATAGTAATAACTTACAAGCACCTCACCGGGCATTACACGCAACTCCACTGCCAGGCGACCAGGCGAATACGCGGCAAATTTAAACTGTCTTGAGTATGTTATTTCAAAAATAAGTTCTCGTAAATTAGCTTTTGGTATTAATTGAACAATCGCGTTATTCCAAAAACACTTAAATCAAACGCGAATAAAACGCAAGTTACCTGTACAGTACACAGATCCCTTGAGCTTCACCGTTTAAACATCGCAGACCTTGCCCCCATCTGACTTCTTCCATTACTTGCCATGAGTGCGTTACCCTGGGTGATACGAGAGCTGCCAGCAAAACAATGCATCTTAGAGACACAGAATACACACCCATGCTCTTCGTATTTCTTATTTTATAGTTTTATATTATACCTGTACTGCATTTTCTTTATTTCTAAGTCACATTAGAGTAATGAAAAGATTTTTCCTTAACCTCTTTAGTTTCATTATAGGTAACAATGGCAACATGCATTATCATCTCTTGCAGGCCACAGCTGACTGGCAAGTCAGCCAGCTGACTCCCGGCATGCGTCTCAGAAAAACGGACTTCTTTACCAGTTATTTTACTTTATAAAAACGATGTGACTTAGAAATAAGGAAAATGTGATATAAATCTAAGAAATAAGAAAAATGAAGAGCATGGTTGTGTATGTGTGAAAAATGCACATGTGTGTAGGTGGGAGCCTATAACTACATCTCCGACTCGCCAGCCTAGTCGCCATTTTTATTGTTGCTTTTAATGAAACTACATAAGTTTTTTTTTTAAATCATTACAATACTCCATTGTGGCTTATAAATATGGAAAATATAATATAAAACTAGAAAATAAGAAAAATAAGGAGCATATGTGAGATGTAAATGTGTTATGAAGTGGATTTTTCCTCGTGTTTTTGCAATTTTGGCTTTCCGTAGATGAACATCGTGGTTTTGGGTCTTCACGGGGATTTCATTAACCTGATCCCTGCATTATTTAAGGAATATGTGTATTTTAATAATACAGAAAACAACATGCTGGTCTTTTACGTCATAGTTAAGGATTACAGTACAATACAGTATTACCCCGCCTAACACGGTTTCACTTAGCGCGTTTTACCGTATACGCGGTGCCTCGCCAGAGCTGAACTTTCACTTAACGCGGGTTTTTTCCACGTATACGCGGTGAGTGTCCGGCTCGAGACGCTATTTTTAGATTTGCCCCACCCGCCACCCTGCCTGACTGCCTGTTTTAGCTCATAAAATTCATACAAATTACCCGGCCAGAATATAATTTACATTGCTGGAATTCTTACAATATGATGATCATTTTGAATATAAACATCATAGATTTTGCATTAGACATACAAATTTTAGATATACTGTAATGCTTACTCTGAGTAAATATGTTATTTTTTGTGCAAAATATATGACATTTGTATTCAAAATATTCCTGGTCTTACAAGGAATCCAGCAATGTCAATTATATTATCCTAACTTTAGTTTGAGGTATTATTTATTACTAAAAAGTTAAATATTCTGGTTTTCCCACACATCTCCTTGGGACGGTTGGTGGGGGGTGGGGGGGAGGGAGGGACCAACCGACCATCTGTTACCCTGTGAAGAATATTTTTTTTTATTAACTGAAGATATTTGTTTTAGCTCATAAAATTCATACAAATTACCCGGTCAGAATATAATTTACATTGCTGGAATTCTTATAATTTGATGATCATTTTGAATATAAATATCATAGATTTTGCATTAGACATACAAATTTTAGATGTAATGTTTACTCTGAGTAAATATGTTCTCTTTTGTGCAAAATATATGACATTTATATTCAAAATATTCCTGGTCTTACAAGGAATCCAGCAATGTCAATTATATTATCCTAACTTTAATCTGAGGTATTATTTAATACAAAATGTTAAAATTTAGTTTTTTCACCCAACCTTTCTCTTGAAGGGAGGATTGGTGGGGGGTGGGGGCGGGGTTGGAAGAGGGGGGGGGAGGCAAGGTGGGGTACTTTGATTGACAGATAGTGTCGTGAAGAATATTTTTTTTTTTATTAACTGAAGATATTTGTTTTAGCTCATAAAATTCATACAAATTACCCGGCCAGAATATAATTTACATTGCTGGAATTCTTATAATTTGGTGATCATTTTGAATATAAACATCATATATTTTGCATTAGACATACAAATTTTAGATAAAATGTTTTCTCTGAGTAAATATGTTATCTTTTGTGCAAAATATATGACATTTATATTCAAAATATTCCTGGTCTTACAAGGAATCCAGCAATGTCAATTGTATTATCCTAACTTTAGTTTGAGGTATTATTTATTAAAATTTAGTGGTTTTCCCCAAAAATTTCTCAGAGAGGGAAGAGCCAGCAGTGTAGTGTGAGAAGAGGGGGAGGGAGTTGAGTCCATTATTTGAATGGACATTAACTTGGCGACTGTATTTCTCTATTTCTCTTAAGTATTAATTGTGTGCATGTACCATCATAAAATTAAGATGTTATTTTTACTACAACATAGTTATGTGTCATCAAAAAGTGGAGTTTGGGGGTCGGGCCGGTTTCTATTGGAATTAATCCCATATGTTCTGTTGTTCACTTAACGTGGTTTTCACTTAACATGGTACCCTCTGGGTTTTATTGACCGCATTAAGTGGGGTACAACTGTACAGTACTGTAGATACAAGACCTCATTATTTTCAAGAAAATTTAATTAATATACTGTACTGTAGACTATTCATTACAATACTTCAAACCACAAAAGTTAACACAATAAAGCATTTACTGTTAAAGCAACCACTATCATTAACAACACAGACCCTTACCTGAATTACTGTCATTCATTCTCTCAAACTATCACAACATGGTCTTAAGTTCTCTAACTTGTTTGCTCCATTTGATTCATACAATATTACTGTATTATCTTATGAACTATAAAATAACATTTGATCATTGTTATAGTGTCACTGTCATACAGATTAAAGATAAATACACAGCGAGGAGTTTATATAACTGACCCTCTAATGTACATACAGTATAAGAAAAATTACATTAATATTGTCATAAATTTTAAAATATTTTGTTTCCTGCAGGTAAGCTGTACCTAATAGGCGTATGGGTATGATACCACTTAGAAGATGGACACAACCACCTGAATCTTATGCACCAAGACACAGTTATGTGGCCTTGCCCCTTTTTTTTTTTTTTTAATTGGTAACAGTAATAAAATTTCTCAGCAGTACTGTGGAATGTGTCAACAATATTGTACCAACAGTAGACTCCCAATTTTACAATAAGTTACATTCATTGGCAAACCATAGACAACAAAATCCCATTCTAATGGAATGGGTCAGAACCAAACTCATTCCATTTATGTAATGATGTTTATCAGACAATATAAAAATGTCAATTCAACTCTGGAATTGTTTCAGAAAGGCACAAATACTGTAGACAAATAAGGACACATTATATAAATGGTTTCTTTTATTTCTCCTTTAATTACAAAATACAATATATACAGTAGTACAATAAAGAATGATAGTCATACTTGTACATAAAAATAAAGTACATAATACATTACATTATTAATGGCAATGTATTGTACTCATTCATAAACGAGTAACAAATATTTGCATTAATTACAGTACGGTAGTTAATTAATTACAATGTACTGCAATATGTACAGTGAAAAATTTAACATTAACCAATGTGGTTGCTGTGAAGTGATATTCCCGGTACTGTACTGTATATGTGTGTTTGCGTGCATGTGTACATGCGTGCATGTGGAAGCATCAAGAAGCAACAAGCATATGCTGTACTGTACATACTGTATAAGGTGACAGAGGCTGTCACCACAAGCATAAATCATGGGTGAGGATGCACCTGCTCTACCTCCCACCAAGGAGGAGGCCAGCGCCATGTAAACAATGTCGTCTCTGACCACACCCCACAAAATACAGTGTATTTAGCAAATGCTGCAGCTGCTGAGAATGAAGGGAGGCTAGAGTCACTACGAAGATCAGAGACATTACCGAGAACTAATTCCGACTTGACGGTCATGTACTGAACACTAATTCTGACACACTCCTTGATAAGAGAGAGGAGTTTGGAACACTACTGAAGGTACATCAACTCAATATAGTATATGTGTTGTATAATTGTTGTACAAGAACAGGAGAATCGACCCAGTGGAACGTGAGTTCAATATAGACGGATATTACTCATTTATGAACCTTTCTCAAGCAACATACAAGAGGTTGCGGTTATCTACGCTAGGCAAGACCTTTGAGCCAGCCAGGTGAGGGTGCAGGGGAGAGGATGTTTTTAAAGGATTAAAATGGTGTAAAATTAAATTAAAGGAGAGAGACTTACTTATTGTCAGGTGTATCTACATATCCCCAAACTATAGCTTATAAAAGCAAAGAAACTTAGAGCCTTAATTGACAATGCAACGGCGCTCAACCCTAGCCACCTCCTTGTCATGGGACACATTAACTATGGCGACATCAACTGGAGAAATGAAACTATGCCCAATGGCCTTAATAATTTCGCTACCCTTCTTTTAGAAACTCTGAGAGACGATTTTCTATTCCAACATGTTTAGAATCCGACTCATTGTAGAGGGGATCAAACACCCAAACTGCTGGACCTCATCATAACTATCGAGAAGGTTATGGTGGCTAAGCTGGAACACCTAGCCCCTGTTGGCACCCATCACCACATAATGTTGTCCTTCAGATTTAACTGTTAATTGGTTCACAACAAAACCAAGCCAAGGTTCAAATATTACAAGGGTAATTATGATGGGATGAGGGAAAAGATAGGGGTATTCACTGGCCTGACTCACAAAGATATAAGAACGCAGACACTACGCTGAACATCATAATCAATAAAATGAACCATTTGATCAATAAATATATACCCAAGACTAAACCCAGTGCCTCCAGAATACAAGGTAACTGCTGCACATGAACCATGCTGCAGCTGACAAAGTTAAGAAGAAAACTCAGAAATTCGAGACAGGTAAGGACAAATGATGAACAGGATAGGAGGATGTATGCCACATCCAGAAAACAAGCAAAGTCAGAGTGTAGAAGGGCTGAAAAAAGTTCCAGAGGCAGATTGTGAGCCAAGTTAAGTCAAACACAAAGGCGTTTTACCATTACGCAAAGTCGAAATTAAAAATGCGAGTAGGCGTATGGACTTGAGGCTTGAGGATGGTAGTTACACTCATTCTGACCAGGACAATGGAGAGGCGTTGAACAGATTCTTTTCCTCTGTGTTCACGAGAGGATGCGAACAATCTTTCCGCATTTGAGGACAGGCGGTTGGACACAGTGCTGACCCATAGTGTGTTCTCAGAAGAGTGTACTGTATAAGAAATAAATTGTCAAAGCTAAAGGTTCATAGGAATCCCGGCCCTGACATGGTGCATCCCAGAGTGCTAAGAGAGTTGTACAACAAACTTGCTTAGCCCCTGAAGTTCCTCTTCTGTTAATGCTTGGATGAACAAAAGGTCCCCAGTGATTGGAAAATAGCTTATGTGAGTCCTATATTGAAGAAGGGTGATCGTCACTCCATGAATAATTGTAGACCAGTGAGCCTGACCAGCATAGTGTGTAAAGTACTTGAGATGCCATGATGGAACATCTACTACGAAAGAACCTTCTAAAAGACAGCTAACACGGTTCTATGCCAGGATGCTCCTCTTTAACACAATTACTCAAGGTACTGGATGTTTGGATCCAAATTCTGAATCGGAATGGCAATATCGACAATATATACCTAGATTTTGCCAAGGCATTCAACACTACCCCATGAAAGGCTGATAATTAAATTGGAATGGTACAGGATTCAGCGAAGAGTCTTAGCATGGATCGGAGACTTTTTGCCTAATCATAAGCAGTGTGTGGTGATTAATGATACGAAATCGTCATGTGTATCCATGACAAGCGGGGTACCACAAGGCAGAGTATTGGGCCTGTTATTGTTTTTGTTTGTTTCATAAATGACAAGTCAGAAGCTATACATTCCTCCATACAAATGTTTGTGTTTGATGCCAAGTTATTCAGGGAATTTAAGAACCAAACAGACTACGATGAGATGCAGAAAATTCTCCAAGAGTGGTCAAAGAAATGGTTACTAAGATTCAATGTCACAAGGTGTAAGAGGCAGCACCTGTGACGTACCAATGGTAAGGATGCGTATCATGTGTCTTATTAGGATGAAGAAACTACATTAATAAAGACCAGCGAAAAGGACCTGGGTGTGTATGTTGACAATTAACTGAAATTCTCGGGCCATTATGAGAAGAAGGTGAATCAAGAGTGAGGTGCTTCCCCTCCTAGAGTACTGTCGCCCGGTCTGGTCCCCAAGTTATGCTAGGGACTGTCAGTTGATTGAAAATGTCCACTGGAGGGCCACCAGACTGGTGCCTGCACCATGGCACCTCAGTTATCCAGAGAGATTAGAGCGCCTGCATCTGCCTAGTTTATACTACAGATGGACAAGGGGTGACCTAATTGGGGTGTATAAACATCTCAAAGGGCACTACTCAGTCGGGTGTCCATACCAGGAGCTGGCGGATGCATGCCCCACAAGGGGTCACAGCTCAAGGTTGAAGAAGCCACAAGTCCAGAAAACTGAAGGCAAACGTTTTCGAAGTGAGAGTTGTGAACTCTTGCAACAAGTTGCCAGAGTGTGTTGTGATGGCACTGAGTGTGAGCTGTTTCAAGACCAGAATTGACCAGCACTGGAGCAGGTTCAGGTGTAACGACCACGGTCGTACACGTCAGTTAACGCCAAAATCAAATGATTCATAGTACGCTCAATAGCCCACAAAACATGTACCTCTGCTTTATTTTTGAGTCCTCCATCTGAGGAGTCCGTTTTCTCGTCACTTCAAGACGCCTCAGTCCTCCGTTATCCCATTTTCTCTGACTTACTGAAACCAACCTCTCTATGTAATGAATTTGAATGTGAGAGAGAACACCCTGGTTTAGAGTCAGCTTAGATATGTCGGTTTACAGTTGAAACATTCAAGATCCATTGTGAGTGGTGTTGAACGCTCCAACTGTCCTTATTGTTGGTAAGACGTGTCAAGTAAGTGAGTGTTGAGTCTGCCAGGACAAACGATACCCATCGGTTTCGTTCCTAAGAATATCCATGAGTTTCTGATCGCGCCTGAAGTTAGATCATTTTGTCGCCCCGACATCAGAGAATCTGATGTTTGTAGTTTAATTAGTGTCAGTTATCTATTTAAGAAAGTCATTAATTTCCTGAACTATTCTGTCAACTGGTATAATCTCCAAGATCTAACGTCTCCCTGTGAATAGTTCCTTGTTCGCTGTAGGCCTGAGCTTGCAGAATTGTTGTTATCAACGTGTATATTCCACCTTTTCCTGGCAAGTTCAACCTCTGATTAGATTATATGAATAGACATAGGAAATTACCCTGATCCGGAACACCGGAGTTCATAATTAAATATACGGTGATCCAACATGGTAGAGAAGGTATGTTGTTGGTAAGATTGACCTTTCTGGCATGAATATGGAGGCCCAAGCTGCCCAGCGGGGGCACGTATATACCTCTACACGAGGGAGAATCACGCATTCGTGACTCTTCTTCCACGTCTACAGACGCGGATGTGTTAGCCACTCTCCTGAAGGTCGAGGGCTACCTATGGGCACCATGGTTCTTGAAGACTGTCTCTAAGGGCGCATTTAGAATCCCAGGACACGATCCCCGGGAAGCGCCCCCACCACTCTGCCAGTGTGTAACGAGTCAACCTCCCTGAGTGCACCTAGCGAGCGAGCCTTCAGCTTGGCGGTCGCTGTAAACAACTCTGGCCCACTGACTCGGTCATATGATCATGGTCTACCCACTGTTCTTGGTTATCTGTATGGAGCCGTATTAATATCCATGCTTAGGGATGACTAGCAGAAATATAGTCATCCCAGGTTAAGTATTGAACCACTGAACGAGAGTTCAAGGTACCAGGTTGTCCTTGCAAACTAACAGGAGGTATTGTATGTTACTATAATTGTGGAGTTAGTCCAATGTGTTATGTATTCATCTGTAGTAATCATGAAAGAATAACCTGAGAGTATGATGTTCTAACCACGAACTGAGAAGATAATTTGTTCCTTGTTAAAGTAAGACCTGCGGGTCCAGGGTTATTGACAGTGTGTAAGCATTTCTAAATCTTACTTGTCACAGAA